CCCCTGATTGGAAATCCAAGATCCGCCACTGTGCACACTCTAGAGCATAAAATTGCAAACCAAACAGAACTTGTAGTCTAAATCATCATGACCTACCTTGGACATATCCAGTCTCCTTTCTTCATTTCGATATTATATCCAGAAGAACTTGATGCTTGATTACATCTTTCAGAAGACTCTTTCTGTACTGTCAAAACAGGCTCCACAGAACTTTCTTTAAAGTTAACCAATTCACTGAACAATTTTCTGGCATATGATTCAACTCTACTGCTTATCTCAATGTTTTCTGAAAAGCCAATAGCACTGTAGGCATAACTTAATAAAAACTTCATGAGATCGACTGTGCTTGGTTTATCAGATTCTAATACCTATAAAACAAGAATTGAGCTAAAGTCAAAATACTAAAAAAAAAAAATGAAACATCAAAGGTGAAAGAGATCTAAACCATAGGCACAAGTGCATAATCCATAGAAGTGGAAGAAGAGTATGAAACATATACAACAGATTTCTGTGTAACTGCAGGCGGAAAAGAAAAACCACTAAGATATGGTTACCAAAATATGATTAAGAAAAAGTAAGAAAGTCAAATTATATAGGATGTCTTGCTTTTCCTCCCACAATATATGAACTCTTGTTAAGACATTGCAACATGTTATCTATATATAGTTCTATAAAAATGTAATCTTTTGAAGACTAACATTGTTGTCACCCTACAAACCTCAATTGAGAAGGACAAAGATGGATGTAAACAAAAGAAAGATTTAGCTATGAAAGATGTCAAGCTCTGTAAGAAGTCAAGCTCTCTATTGGAAGAAGATTTAGCTATGAAAATTATAGTTCTCCTTACTGGCACTGGAATAACCAATATAGAAAAATCAAGGGAGTCCAAGGGTACAGATTTCCTAAATAATACCTCCATTACAGGTTATGTGCAACGATTAGACATTTTTCCTCTCTTCTTTATATCAAATCGTTGCACATAACCTGTAACGGAGGTAGTATATCTTATAATCATGGGTATATACTGAACGAAAGCAGAATATTTATAGACCCATTTTACTTTATGAAAGACAATGGAGCAAGGAAGATGTTGTGAGTTTACCTCGTCCTAGAATTTCAGTCTTAATGAGGCATTTTATTCTTTGGAAAATCCAGGCTACATTCATAACTTTGTCCAATCTAGGTGTGCACTTCCTGAAAGTAATCAAAGTCTGAGCAACTAGTGGAAAGTATGCAGGCTGTTGCCCCTGATATTGTTAAAACCTTAAATTAGACACACACACACACAAAAAGAAAAAAAAAAAAAACACGCCAGTTATTCTCACCACTTGATTACATCTTACATAAGACAGTGTTCGCCTTGTTTCCTCTTATTTAAAGAAACATAGGTTAAGACAAGTTACAATCAGTTTAATTCGGGAGAAATAAAAGTTCAATTCACAACTAGCAAGAGTTTATTGATTTATGATAAGAGAAAATCAGTGAATAAAACACATCCTTTGCGAATTTTTGAATACTTTTTTTAAGTCATTATCATACACACACTTTGAATCAGGCTCCTTAACTCAGAGATGGAATTGGCACAAATATAGTATGAAATAGCACTTGTATTCTACTGGTTATGAATCATGGTCTTGCAATCATTATTCTAAATGACGAAAACAAATTGCCCACCTTAACTAGAAGCAACTTAACCACCACATTCACACAAATAAACCCTCCAATGGTAAATTTTGATGAATGGTTCCACAAGATGTTGCTTCTGATTCCATTAGAAGAATAAAGTCAACCACAAATATCACATAACACAAACATCAAAAGAAAGTAACGGATGGAACCACAAAAATTAGACTTTTCCTTTCTATAATAATAAGACTATCTTTTAACATATAACAGCTACTTAAATATTAGGTAAATTTTGGCACACAGCTCCTATGTGTTTTGAAAACACATACGAGAATAAAATAGTCATTTGACATACACACAAGGGTATAAAAAAGCTCAAGGCGCACTGGAGCGATAAGGGTTATGCAGCGCCTAGGTGCGCCTCATTGAAGTGAGGCACACTATATAAACAGTTAAAAAAAAAAGGTAGAAATTTGCTTCATGTGCGCCTAATTTGCTTACCCACTATTGCCTTGCACCTACTTTTTCTAACATTGCATACACAAAGGTATTTTTTATGGTAACAGTGACATTTTTTCTGCACTATTATGCATGTATATTATATCATTAGAGTATAAGTTGTCTTAATAGTATTATTATATCTCAAAATGGTACAATACTAATTGATGTACAATTTAGATACTTATTTGTACCATTAGAAAAATATTTATACCACTATAGCAATTAATAGTAGTATATTACCATTTACCTATGGAACGGTACTTTATACTCATGTTAATATTTACAATTTAGCCATTCAATTTGTTTCAAAACAAAGAGGTCCTATGCGCCAATACTTTTCCATAAGCTCAAATACTCAACATTAAGGTAAAAAATAAAAAATAAATAAATAAATAAAAAAAAAATAAAAAAAAAATCAATATGTAAGACTTAGTTATGTCAGATGAAATTAAGAAGTGATTATCTAACAATTAATCTATGATAGTAGTAATCAATTAGCAACAAAAACTCATTATGGTACATCCTACAGCTTGAAAAGCCTTGTATGCTTAATTCTGCTGTACCACTTAGGGAGGAAGAGGCCAAACAATCAAGTCAATTGGTCTCATATCCAAGAGATATGTTAGCTTAGATACGTTAGCTTTTCTTCTAGATAGCTTGAGAGTGAGAGTTTTGGTTGGCATGTTTGTCAAACATTAATATGCTCCAAACATGGCTCATCAAGACACAATTACAAGGCTCTAAATTAATAATACAGACATAGAGACTAGAAAATAAATTCAGTTTATTGTGGGTACATATAGATAAGATGAAAGCACAGGTTTCCCCTTTATTGGTCAATATTTTAGTGTCCATACACATTTGTAAAATATTTAACATGCATGCTTGAACAAAAAAGAAGAAACAGAGCATCATGACTTCCATTTACTATATATTGTGATAAAGTTGATGTATATTTATCATTGAAATTTTTTACTTCATTCCAAAATCACTGCGTAAGAATGTCCCCCTCCAAACACTTACATAAGGAATTAGGCCTCTAAGCCTAACATACTACATAAATATAATGTCATAGCCATAGAAGCATGCAACCAGGTGAACCAAATTCCACTCTACTATGTAGCAACGCTACCATTCTAAATATGCACAAGACATACTTGGAAAAATCACTAGTAATTTTTCCTGGTTTCCTTGACTAAGGGGCACAACTGCATTAGCAATAAATAAATAAATAAATAATGTTGTATAAAATGTTTCTTATCATAGCCATCCTTTCTTATCCTCCAATGACATGCAACAGCCTCACCTCTAAGAATCAATCAAGTAACACAAGAATCATCACCAAATAACACTATATTGTAGGTATTTGAGCATTTGACTAACTTCAACACTTTGCTGAATTAGTTAAAAAAAGCAGTGCCCTACTCAAATGTTCGAAGTCCAATTAGACCCTAATCAAATGTTCTTAACCTCATAAAGTCATTATAATTCACAACAAAGCCAACAAAAAAAACGCTCAATTTGCATAATAAATTTCACACCAGCTCTAAGCCTCTAATACAATTAATAATCAAATTACATCTCAATAAATATTGTGCTAAAATAAACCAAATAAACTTACATTTATATTATCGATGTCATTGCCACAGAAAGATTTCATCTTTGCCGCCGCCACCGAAGCATTAGCAAACAAAAACGGCGAACCATTCTGTACAACCACCTCTACATCCTCCCTCGAAAGCGACCTTCACCAACAAACAAACAAAATGAGCAAGAGATAAGCCTAAAAAAACACACACACAAAAACAACCAAAAAAAACCCAAAAAACTACCAACCACAAAATAGTAGGATTATCTCTAGCAAAAGCCAAACAAGAATTAGCAACCCTCAAGAAACCCTCATCAAATGGTTGAAACCCCACAAACTGATGAACATCAAAGGATGCATTACAGTATTCCGATTGTGAAACCAAATCAACAAAACCCGAAAACTCAGCCCAAGGATGACGGAAACTACTAGTAGAATTCGAAAACCCAGTTGAATTTATTGATGGGGTTTCATCCCAAAGAGTGTGAGCTTGGTGGGTGTGAAGTTTTTGGGAAGATTTTGGAGGAGAGAAAAAGGAGGGAGGAGAAGGAGGAGGAGAGAGAAAGAGGAAAGAGCGGTGAGAAGCGAGGCGGCGGAGGTGGCGAAGGGAAGAAGGGTGGCGATGGTGGAGGAGTGGTAATGGTGATGAATATGATGATAAGAATGTGAAGAGACGTAAAGTGGCGCCACCCATTTGGGTTGCAATCAAGGTTACTGACTTACTGTCAATGGTTTTTCTGGTCTCTGGTTCCTACTTACTGCAGTACTGCAGCAGCTGATGATTTTGGGGCCTATTCTAAAATAAATACAGTACAAGTATACAACCTTGATTGAGGGAGGTAGTATGACCTGTACAGATTTACTGAAAACAAGTAATTGGATATAAAACTGAATTAAATAGAGCTGAAATAAATTGTTCATGAAGGAAATTAAAGACTGAATTGAATTGATTAAAATTGAATTGGAGTGAATTAAAATTAAGCTAACAAAACAGGCCTTAAGAATCTACTTCATTAGGGTGAGTTTATCCCATACTCCACACTCACATCTAGGGGTGTTAAAAAAAAACCCGACCCGATTGTCCCGTCCTGATTTCCCGATGACCCAGTAAATACCCGATGGAAAATTTGGGAAAACAACAATTTTTTCGGGTCGGGTATCCGACCCGGGAAAATTGCTTGCTATCCGGGTCGGGACATGGGCCGCACTTTTTAATTCTCGGGTACCCGATTACCCGATAGTAAATTATTTTTTTTTTTTTTTAAAAAAAAAAAAAAAACCTCCCTCAAAGGCTCAAACTAAGCCCAGCCCATTTAGTTTGCAAATTAGGGTTCCTCATCAAACGCCTCTCCTGCCTCTCTCTCTCTCATCAAACGCCTCTTTCTCTATCTTCCTCTCTCTCTCCTTCCTGCCTTGAGTTCCTTCACGAATCTGCTTCCTGCCTCTCTCTCTCTCTCTTCCTGACTTGAGTTCCTTCACGGACAGCGATACAAGCACAACCGCGAGAGAAAACTTCCATCGCAGCGGCACAATCGCACAACCGCGCGAGACGACAAGTATAGTACGAGCTTCGATTGTTGCTTTTAGATTTGAATTTGAAAGCTTAATTATTGTTTGGTTAATACAAATGTTGCCATTTTGAAGTTTGGGTGAAGAAAACTAGGAATCCGACTAAGATACAAATGTTATCTTGATAATTTGTTGTTAATGGCATATTGGTGTTTTATGACTTTTGTCTTGTTTATCTTTTTCTTTTGAAATATTGTCTTTGTTTATCTAATTGAGTAGCAGAACATGTTTTTATTTTATTGTTATTATATACAGGCACTACAATCTGATGAATATCTGGAATTTTTTTTTAAAAAAATGCAGCAGTTTTAAAAATTAAATTACAGCAGTTTTTTTTTAATTGCTATTTAAAAAAAATAAAAGAAATTCGGGTACCCTATGTCCCGACCCGAATAATTCGGGTACTCGAAACCCGGGTACCCGAGATATTCGGGTCGGGACATGGGACGAATTAACAATTACCCGAAACTCCGAAAATTCGGGTACCCAAATTTGAACACCCCTACTCACATCTTTTCACTAACTTTTAAATGTTTTTTTTATTATTCAGGTTCATATAAGAGTATATTCAAATTCATACATTACACCAAGACTCACTCTAGACTCATTTATTTTCTCACAAAATATATATTTATTTATTTATTAAAGTACCTTGCTAACGAACGCCCACATAACGTTGGATAATCATTTAAAATATTACTTACAATGATATTAATTTGGAAATGCATCCTCGAGGCATTTGTTAGCTTTTGTCTGTTTTAAATATCTGTATAGGTAAACTTTCCGTTTGCAACTTATTTTAGCCTGTTAATTCGGTTTTTTTTTTTTAAAAAAATAAAATCCTCTGTCAGCAAATCAAGGCCGTCTTTAAGGTTCCCGTTCGGTCTGAATTTGTGGTCTAATTTCCTCCATTAAAGTAGCTTCTTGAGGTAACACATTTATCCTTTTTATAATCAGCTGATATCAATTTGCAATCTAGGATATAGCTTTAGTTTTCATACAAGTCCACTAATCCTTTTTTGTGCTCTGTTTTTTTTTTGGTTAATAGTTTTAATTTAATTACTTTTCTCATATTCAATTGATTAATCGAACTATTTCTTGATAAAGGAGTGGTGATGAAACTCTTCAAGGATTTTTGCCCTTTTGATTTTGACCTAAGAAAGGGAAAAAGAGGAGAGAAGATGCGATGAATGGCGGAGGAGGTAATGGTGGTGGCGGATTGGAGTTTCTGGAAACAATTTGATGAAGCTCATAAACTTGTAAGCTACTTTCTCTCCTTCAATTTCTCTGAATCTACATCAATTTCACTTATTGGTGTTCAATATATGCAAATTATATTGGCTGGTTCGTTGATTGTTGTTGCTTTCATACTTATTTAGGATTGCTCAATATATTAGTTGCAAAATTTGTGAGCGGGAGGTTGTTGTTTCTATTGCCGAAGAATTGTGGCAGATCATCGATGTCTCAGAATTACATCGGTTTGATTTGCTTCGATTTTTAATGTTGAGTTAATTTTGTAATCTCACTTGAGTATTCAGTTTTGATTCATTTTTGGAGGATAATTTTTTGTTTGATTTTTTTATGAAGTAGGCTTTGTTGCGGATTGCAATTTGAATAAAAGATTGCAACTGACTGGGCCGAAGAATCGGAGTCCAATCAAGAGTTCAAGAAGTGCCCAAGTGGCCTTTCCCGGCTCAAGGGCTTCCGCCCAAAGGCGCGCCAGGCCGGGCGGGGCAAAAGAAGGTAGGGCGTTGCTTCACCTGAGCTCACGCCCGGTGCGAGAGGTGTTTCAAAGGTCAAAAAGGCGCATCCAATCGAGCGGTGCCTCGCCCGACCGGGCGCTCGTTTCTGGAGGCAGATTTAAGCGTCGTTCATTTTCGTTTAAGTTTAGGATTTGTTAGCTTAGTATAAATATGCTTTTGTTAATCGAGTTTAGTACTTTTTCACCTCTTCACTTAGCTTTTCTCTCTCTACTTAGTTTTTAGATTAAACATCTCTCTTGTTTTCTCTCTCTACAACTCTACAATTCATTCCATTATTTCCGTTAACTTTGGTAACAATTTCTTCTCTATTATGTCTTGTTTATTTGCTTTGATTAGTTTAGATTTAATTATGTGAGAGTAATTTTCTTTCTAGGGTTTGTGGGGATCCATAAATAATATTGTAGACAGCCATTTGTGTCTCCCCAAAACCAAACCCAGTGATGAGTACCTTTCGTGTCGAATCAAAATCGAATGAAGTGAAAGTGTGGAAAGTCTAGAGTTGTGGATAGTTTTAATTTCTTTTCCCTTCTCTCTGTTTTTGAAACCTTATTTTAAGAAAAAAGTCAATCCAGTTTGGTTGGTCCATGATATGGGTCCAATAGTAGTGTAGTTGGATGAGGCTTGACAAGAGCTTTCCTACGATATATTATAAGCCCAGTTCCGATGAATATTGAAGAAGTTATGACCAATTTACTGAACTGGGCCCGGTTTGAGCCTTATGTGCGGCCCAATGATCTAGAGGAGGGCCTAATATGATTTATCATTCCTAATGCAATTAGGAATGATTTTAGTTTTCTAGATTCTTCTAGAAGGTTCTTTTCATTCCTAATTCAATTAGCATTGATAAATTGACTTTTGTTGACTTTTTAGAGTTTTATTTAGAATCAACGAACATTTTTTGAGGGAAATACGATTTTATCCTCCTGTACGGCAATTTTTATCTGATTTTAAGAAAACGCGTGAATTTCTGAGTCAGCGCCAAACGCCAGCTGTAGCGCCTGACGCTACGCTTGGCGCCTGGCGCTAATGTTGGCGTCTGGCGCCAATAGCCATCGTTGGTGCTAATTCAATTTTATTTGCGTCAGAACTCTATTTTGATATTTTATCTTTTTGGTTGATTTTGTTTATAAATAACGTCGTAATAATTCCGTTTACAATATCAACAATCATCAATTCCCACCAATTCTCGTCTACAATCTACCAATTCTCTCTCTCTCTTTCTATCTTTTCTAAACTAGCTTCTCTCAAATACAAAATTCCGCATTCATTAATCTAGATACACCCAGCCATATTCGAAATTGCCTTTCGCCCTAGACGTGAAAGGTTTAATTTATGAGGGTTTGGTCCCAAATCTCTCTTTCAATTATTTAATTTAATTGTTTGATATTATTATTTTCCTTGAAGTTACTAATGTGTGTATTTTGTTATTAGAAAGAGGTACGAGGCATCAAAGTAAGTACTTTAATGGTTTTTATTGATATTATGATATAGAGATACAAAAATTTATCTTGGACAATTTGTTTGTGAAAATGTATGTATAACAATAGGTTGTTATTTTAATTCCTAGTATCATGTCTGGGTAATTTTAATACTAAGTATGTTTGTTATGATGCCTTCTATTTTCTTTCCTAATATTTATGATTGTTAGTATCATGTTAGGGTTGAATATATGATTTTTATTGTTAGTGACATGCTAGGGTTTGTTATTAATCTTGTTAGTATCATGCCTAGGATCTTGCTATTATTATGCTTTAACATGATTATGAATATATATATTATTATTATGATCATGATTATTTTTATTATGGTTATAATTATTATTATGATTATTATTATTATGTTGCTTGATATTATATTGCTTGATCACGCCTTTTGTGCATGTTTAAAGGGAATTTGTATTTGTAATCACGCTTAATAAGATAATTAATAATCTTGTTTCGGGTTAATTTGATTATAATTCAAGTGATCGCCAATAATAGATTTATTTGTGCATTAATATTCAACCAACATAGATAAACAGGTTTAGGGTTAAACCTATTGATTGCATGTTAGTTAGAAAGCGCACATGAATACGATCTGAATAAAGTAGAGGCCTATTATTAGTGCAGGTTCAATCTCTTTTAGGTTGGATTTGTACCTCCATCCCCGAACCCTATTTGGTTCAAGATCTTAATGGAGTTGACGATCTCTTGGATCGTTAAGGGGTGTAACCTTCACCTCGTGAACGGTTTACAAGTTCCTAAAAAAACTTGTTGGCGACTCTTTTGCTCTATCTTCTTCCCTTTTGGACGCCACCGTATTTTAGTGTATGATCACAGTGGGGTTCAAGCTAGGGGATTAACGCTTGAAATATTCCCTACAGTTTTTGGCGATTCCGCTGGGGAGGATTTCTATTGTAATTCCTGAATTTGTTTCGACAATGATTTAGAATGAGTGGATGAGACTCGAAACGTTCTAAGTATTTCATGTGCGTAATTTTGATTAATATTATTGTCATATGCATAAAAAAGATCTCATTGGGAGACCATCCGTAATGAGTTAAAACTATAGGATTTTACACGTAGGAAATTTGAGAAATATCTTTCACAACTAAGACCAAAATAACACTGCGCGAAACTGGAAAATTTTATCAAGCACAGAAAGCTGCTGAGGCATGTAGGAATTAGCGTCAGCAAACATAAGCTGGCGCCAGACATTTAACTGTAGCGCCAGACGACAGCTCTGTCGCCAAGCGCTACAGCTAACTCCTGGCGCCAACCTCTGTTTGCTGGCGCCAAATTCTTCCAATACCGAGCCAGAAATATGCGTTCTAATTTCGACCAGTTTTTCGCATTGTTTGCTCGATCTTACTTCCTGATTGAGTTTTTCTCACATTTCTGAAACCCATATGTGTTCTACATATGAACATAATCCTCTGGGAATTCATGCTCCATCTACCTGATTGAACGCTCTGAGCAACAAAGGGTACATCCGAGAATGTTGAATTCACCAAACCATGGAAGCGAGTTTTTCTAAAACTCGCGGTGTCCCATCCACTCGCGCCAACCCTTCACGGTTAGGCTTACGCGCGGTGCATCCGGACAATTAACCATGGACCCTCTATTGACTAAACCATATCCCGAACTTTAGAGAACTAGAGCCATGATTAGGTTGCAAACTCATTGCATCATATTGTGCCTACTTGACTAATTGTGCATTATTTGTTGTGCATACTCTATGTGATTTTTCCTAACCGTTTGTTTGACTTGTGTTAAGACTAAATAAACTGATTAATGACTAAAGGACTTTGTTTAATTAATTAACTAATTTGAGCTAATAAATAACATAAAATCGAGTCATAGTTCCTTTAAGTCAACCCGGATTTTTATTCCCCTATACTGCACAAGCGTCAACTTGTTTTGGTCATAGTCGGAGTTTTAGAAAGAAATACGAGTCGTACAACATATGGATCTGTAGCCCCGAGTTTTATCTTTAATTTGGCGTTGGTTTCATCCAAATTAGAGTCACAGCTCAAAAGTTATGACTAAAATACCACAGTCTGTCCAGTTTAATGCATATACGTGAGGTCTTAACTTAGTCTTTGCTTGAGTCTAGTCACATAGTCTAGCCACATGGTCATGACACGAGTCTTAACATGTCACCTACACTCACTAGTCTTAGCACACACTTTTTACATACTCTTTTCACACCATGACCATGTCTTAGGTTCATGCATGAATCGGTTTTTTCCGTCATTTGAGTTGGGGGTACATTCCATTCCTAATTCTTCATATATCTCCATTTACATCATCTTTCTTCACTTCCTCCATCCATTGCATGTTGAATAGAGTTTGAGTCAAATAATTAACAATGAATATCCCCAAATTCCTTTTCCACAGTACTTGGTCGAGGAGAGAAGGGCGATTAATCAAGCACAACCTCTTTATTCAAGTCTCACTTTTTGATAAACCAATTCATCAAAAGATGAAGGCTTAAAAGATAATGGCAAGTCAAGAAGAGGTCGAAGAACTTAGGAGTCAATTGAATGACGTGACTGAGGTGTTAAAGGCTTTAACCCTCAAAATTGATGACCCTGTGAAGCAACAACAAATGAACCTCATGCAAGAAAGCTTGAGCAAGCTATCTAGTGACTATAAATTTCAGGGCATTAGTTCACAAGGGGTCTCGCTGGACAAGGAGCTTCTTCCGCATAAGTTCAACGCCACTGACATCCCTAAATTCAAGGCAACAGATAACCCTTACTTTCATCTAAGAGCTTTTGAAACTATAATGAGCATTAAGGGTATCGATAAGATGGTTTTCCCCTCTCTGTTCCCACTATCTCTCGAGACCGTTTGCCAGCAATGGTTCTTTTCTCTCGAGAAAGAAAAAACCTCCACCTGGGAGTCCATAGAAAACGCTTTCATAGATATATATAAGTGCAACAACCAAGACGAGACGGACCATAGACAGTTTGAGATGTTAAAACAAAAGAAAACGAAGGGTTCACATCTTTCTTCAATAAATGGAGGGAAACTTCTGCTAATATGGTCAAGGCTCCTATCGAAGAAGAATCTGTGAGGATGTTTATCAAGAATCTCCAAGGGAAGTATTCAAGACACTTAAAGTACCAACACAACTTGAATACTTTCAAGGCTGTCTATAATATAGGCATTGACATTGAAGATGACCTTCTGAAAGACAATAGTGCGAGAGGAAAGAAGAACGACCATCCTTCTTCTTCCTCTCCCATTAATGAGGTACATGCCACGAACGCCTCTAAATCACGAATCCAAAGGTCAAAAAGGGTGTTCACTCCACTTGGTATAAGTTATGAAGCAGTTTTCGAGAAGCTACATCACAAAGGACTAGTCATGCCCATAGGGCCTATCAAAGACCCAGTTCCAGAAGCCAGGCCACCCAAGTGGGACCCTAATAAGCACTACAAATATCACCGAGGAAAGGGTCACGACACTGAGGAGTGTTGGAAACTCAAAGAAGCTATTCAAGATCTGATCGATAATAATGAAACTTCCGAGATTCTAGCCATCGAAGATGATCAAACATCCTTCGATCCATCACTTCTTATCACACCTGTAGGAGAGCCCATGATCGAGACAGCTTATATAACCTCTCTGGATGAAGTGGCCATGATTGGGGAGGATGAAAGTCTTTTCTTAGAAAGTACAAGGGAAGACTCGTCAAGTCTAAAAGAGGACGTTCGAAAATTGCAAGATGTCGTTGCCATGCTCTTGAACGTGGTAGAAGGATTAGCAAATCGGGTGATGGCCATTGAACAAAATTTTTGCCAAGGGTTT